TATATATATATATATATATATCTAGATATATATATATGAATATATATGTATATATATATATATATATATATATATATATATATATATATATATATAGAACGCCAATCTTTTTAGCATTGAGCAAAAGCGCAAAGTGACAAATGCAACTTACGACAAGATATGAAACACCGGTGTTTGGCACCGTGAATTATACTTTGATTTACTACTAACAAGTATACACACTGCATACCTCTCAACTAAGCACGAGTAAAAAGCCCACGAAGAGGACCAGTTGCAGCACGCTATCTTCCCTGCATCACATAATATAATATTGGTAAGTAGGCGAATGAAATTTTAGGACGATTAGTCATATATTGTCGTGTACGGACCTTCTCAGTGTTAAACAAGTCATCTGCAATAGCTTCCATCTGTTTCCGTTTTTTCTCCTCTTTCACAGACTCAGCCACGTCTTCATTCCCATATTCAGAATCTCTGCAAAAGATAAATAGTGTTAAATCGTATAAAGACTAGATAAGAAGAAATGGAGCAGAGAATTGAACCATACCCGTATGGATACTTTGAAAACGGAATAAGATTGCTGAAGCTGTTTCCAGATGGAGTACTCGTCTAATCGAAAATCAAGATCAACAATATAAAACAATTTAATAATCCAATGGAAAATGAAAAAAAAAATGTATGTGGGCATATATAACAACTAAGTCATTATTTACAGATTTAAACACCGGGTCAATTACCTTCCTGAAAAGTTTGAAGTCTACTAGTGAACAACTTTTCGAAGAAGAACGAGCAGATTGGGGTATTTTAGACACTCGAACAATTAGATCTTGGATGTATATTACATCAATATTTTCGCTTTCCGATGAATGGCCCTTATCCTTTCTCGACAAAGTAACTTCGTTTCTGTCATCTGATGAAGTAATACTGTTGACGCTATCAGTCTTGACAGGTTTAAAAGTATTCCGATTAAGAGGTAAAAATCCTCGGCTCTCGTGTTCGCTAGTTTTGAATGCAACTGTATTCCCTACAAAACTGTTGCGCTCGGCGGATTCTGAAATATGAACATCTTCCGCTTTGCAATCTTTTCCGGAAGATTCCGCCTCGTGGATTGCTGTATTTCTCTCGCATTCATCTTCAGCGGACTCGACTAAGTTCACCACCACAGATTTGTGAGCTGACGTGGCAGTTTCCAATTCTACATCAGAATCCGCTACCACTGTCTCGTGTGTCGAACATGAAGACGAGACCAACACTACAAAAAGGCAATTATACTAGTAATTAGCTCGTAGAAATCTGTCATAATTCCACGCTTTTTTATAAGAGAAATCCTAAACACCCACAAGAGAACAGTAGCAGATGGTACATTCAATATCATTAAGGTACTATTAATGATATCTTGCAGCAAATGGATGTGGCACTATGTATCACGGACACGGAAACGGAGATACTGGGAAACAGGAAACGGACACGGGGAAACGGCATGTCCCGAAAATGGGGATATGGGAACTTGGGGGAAAAGTGTAAATATTAAAAGTGTAAGGGTTTATTTATAAATATGCTATATAAATACATATAAGTTTTTATTTATATATAAATTCTTTTTCTATATTTTCATACAAACAGATTCAAAATAAATTTTACTATCAACTATCAATTTGCAATTGAAAATAATTAGGGAAGCAACAAAAATATTTGAAAATTTGTTAGTCAAACATGTTTCTAACTTTTTAGAAATTGCAAAATGGCCCATAAGGTGTCCGGAAAGTGTCTTCGAGTTTCCGACACGAAACGCGGAAACGTTAACAAGTTGAAGTTTCCGTGCTACATAGTGTATATCACAAATATATCCCTCATGATAATACGTCAATACCCTATCTCATGAGCATTGAATACACCAAAGGTACTACAACAAATAACAATAGTCCATTCTACAAATAGGAAACAATTTAAGATATACTAGTATATGTGGTCGGAGAGCAATTACCGGGTGATGATGCCATAATTGAAGGATCCAAATGTCCAGAAACAACTGCCGAGATTATATCCGTCTCATCCACCTTAGGCAGAGAATTGAATTTATTCAATATTCTAGTGCTTCTTGTTAATCCAGTTGGCATCACACGCACCAGATTGCCTTTTAAATTCTACAAGGACCACATGAGAAAAAATTAATGAAAACGAAAGACAAGTAATCTGAACATACCAATGACTTTGTGGATTGCATGAGAAAAAAATTACTGATTGATTTAAATTTTTTAGTATGGTTTAAAGATGAAGATAAAGACGCAAAAGATATATATATATATATATATATATATATATATATATATTAACATACCTGGGCACATGGATCCAGAGTTTCGGCGTAAACAACTTTTGCACCTCCCGCTTCCAAAAGCAACTGCAACTTTTCCTTAAATTTATACTGCTAGGGAAAAAGGAGAAAGGGATAACAGCGCATCATATTTAAAATTCGAAACTATCATCTAAAAATAACCATAAG